TCATTTTAAAACTCGAGAACAAAAATAATTTCACCAGGTTTGTTTCCTACGCGTTTTATTTAGAATTATCCGGTAATTAATGTCTACTGGCCCATTAGATTTATGCGAGTTTGTTTTACAATGGATTAAACATTTTATTTCTTTACGCAAAACTATTCAAGGTTAAAAAATCTTCTCTGGAATAAATTTACAACTACGTATTTTATAGATTTTCTTACTGTATTTTATATAAATAATTAAATCTTTTTTATTTTTCAATATTCTTACGTTTTTGGTAAACTTTTTGTAGTCTGTGGAATGTTAGTTTTTTTTAATACCCGCTTTCCCAACTACGTTTACCCATTCACGCTTACGAAGTCGCAAGCAGCAGCTAGTAATAAAGGTAACTTCAGAAACCTAGCATAATGTGAACCCTATCTGTAGATCACATTGGCTAAGATCCGGTTTACTTATAATACGAACCTCGTAGTTTTTACGCTAATCGAGTAAAGTGGGTCATGTATGTTAGCGTACTTCGTTTGCCAATCGTTAAGCTATCGACCGATAATTACAATGGCATTTACGGCCATCGAGATATTTTTTTATTTTAAAAAAAGTATTTTAAGAAGTAAACTTTCACCTTAATATTTGTTCCTTCGTGGAGTAAACGAGCAACTTTGTGAAAGATATTTTCCTAACGAGTAAAGTTTTGAGAAACTACCAAGTTTTATTTTGTCAAAACTTTATTTTCTGTGTTGTAATATCACCCAAGTTAGCTTTATTATTCTAAGTTACTTTACGTAAATACCTTGCTACTGAGATCATACTAAGTATGAAAAGAAATGACAATTGCAAAGTAAAAATACATATTTTTACATTTAGTACTTGGGCTAGTTTTTAGTGGGAGTATTTGAAGCCCTAAAGGTATGTACTAACGAATTTCCGTTTTACCAGATTTTCAGGCATCAATAGTTTGCACGTAGGGTGACAACGAACGGGAAGTAATCTTAGGGGCCGTATGTTTAAATAGGGGTTGAAAAAGCTTGAAGTGTTACCCTTGAAAGATATCAAACGTACTTAGTTTTTTTTTTTAAATATTATCTGCGTAAAATTCAAAACATTAGTTGTATATTGAACTTAAGTTAAAAGTAAAGAAACTTATCTAAGAATGTTACATTTTCTAACGAAATTAATACCATAGTTATTTAAGAAGAAAATCGTATGCTCTAAATAAAAGAGTTTCCTCGGAAGAAAATTCGAGCGGCTAAAGAAATTGACTTGCAAGGTATTGTCAACCTTGTTGTGTTATACATAGGTCTTACTTTTCAATGTATTTATCATGAATACCTGTTAACCTGTTATTGCTTGCGTGTATGTAAACGAGCAATAGGTTCGTAGGTACTGAGCCAGACGATAATTCGAGCGAATGGTCAATTGCCCTCCCAATTGCCAGCCGCCGGGCGCACGCTCATTGAATCGCAAATACTGATCCACTGCCATTCTCAAACTCATACGGCCTTCTTACTAATACTAATCCTAGACACGTTTCTGTCTCGTGAATATGTCCGCGCAGAAATTAAAAATAAATCAAAAAAATTAGGGCCTGTCTCACCAAATTGTAAATTGTCTGATAACAATCGAACGTGTAAAATATGCGATGGAAATATTGGATTTTGTTACCGTATCTGACAGTGACGTCATCTGAGCCTCTATCAGCCAGTGGTGGGTCAGGCCCTTCATATTATAAACGCGAAAGTTTAGATGGATTAATGTTTGTCAGAGTTTGTAGCCTGATATTTGGGATAGAATTTAAGAACACATAGGCTTGCTTTTGTTTTTTTTTTAATTCCAGGCAAATAGAGTCGCGGGTGAAAGCTAGTATAATAGTTAACATAATCCTAGGTCTGCTAGTTTTGTAACAACGAATATAATTCTCCAATCGATTCAGTAGTTTGTAGCCTCAATGAAAACAATTAAGGCACTCCCGTACCAAATTTTACTTTTGGAAGCTCTTTACAATATTAGTATAAACAAGCATCCCGCCCTGACTTCGTAGCTCTATTTAAAACATTTCATCTGATAGAAAAGAAAACAATTGGAATAATAATTTACAAAATCGGTTAAACTGTAACACTTTGTTTATAAAGGTTAATACTTAAATTTCACTTTGAACAATCCGAGTAAAACATGAAGTCAAAACATTTATGTTAAGAATAATGTTCAAAACATAAAATTTTCCCACATTGGGTTTGAATAACAATTAACATAAAGATTTTTATATACATTTAATAATAAAAAAGTACTTACAATGTGCATATAGTTAATAGGAAACCCGATTTAGTTATGACTAGAAGTGCGATTTGTTTGGAAATATGGCTTACCATAAAAACTTAGACAGCGTTGCGAATACATTTTAGTACAAATATACGTCAGCCTTTTATTATTTTTAATTCTGACAAACATTTTTATGCGGCTTGTGAAATTTATGTAAAGCTACACATCATCTAACAGATTTATCTGAAATATCGGACTATTCAGATAAAAATGAGCGTGAGTACCTTAAGTAAATAGATTGACCGTTTAATGTACGAGTATCTAAATTTACGTTTAAATCAATATGCAAATATTAATGGGTTTAAGCTTTGGGTACATTGTACATTTATAACGGAAAACTGTCACTAGCATGTCGTAAAATCACTACTTTATTCGTCCACGTCGAATTTAAAAAACAGTGAGTAGCCTATGTGTTCTTCCAGACTATCCTCTACATCTATACCAAATTTCATCTATATCCGATCAGCCGTTTAATCTACAAAGTAACAAACATCCATCCATCCATCTAAACTTTCCCATTTATAATATTAGTATGATTGTACATTACATATGGTTTAAATACTTAGTTGCAAAATTCATTTGTAAAAGGTACATGTTATAGCCGTTAAAATTAATAACTTAATTTATAAATTGAATATATCGAAATGATGAATCGTTTGTATAAATTTATTTATAATTAGTTTTAGAATTAAAAAATCAAAATAAAAGTAAGTATAGTACAGACTTTGCTCTACATCTATGCCTATCCTGCTATTAAACTCTATCTAATATCCATCCATCCATTTCAACTTTCGCATTTAAAATATTAGTAAGATATGTTACTAAGGAGTACTCGTAGTTTTCTATTTACAGTTATTCAAATAAACATATGAACATAACAGTTTCAAATTGATGGAATTAAATCGATTTTACGGATTTAATTTTTGACCTTCAACGCATATAAAACTTATAATAAACTAGATTACATTCGAAAAAATAGTAAGAACATAAAAGTCGCAAGAAATAATATAATTCGCTAAATTATTTATTTACATAAAAAAATCAAAACCTATTTATTAAAAAAATTAATTAAGAACGTATTTCAAATTATTTTTACGGTAGCTAGCGTGAATTATATTTAAAAACGACAGCTTTCTTAATAACCGACTAAGGGCCTGTCCCACCACTGGCTGATAGAGGCTCAAATAGCTTAAAAATGACGTCACTGTCAGATAACAAAATACGATATTTCCATCTCATACTTTACACGTTCGATTATTATCTGACAATTTAAAATTTTGTGGGACAGACCCTGAATAAAATGTCAGTATGTGAACTGAGATAGCTAATAAATCCGAAATACAAACGTTATCTACGTTTCGAGGGTCCTAAACGCTCCTTGCGTGAGCCCTTTTGTCACCTAGTACTGTCCTATTGTTATAGGGCCCTTCCCCTACTGCACGTGAGTTTGACAAAGGGTTTGAGGAAACCGAAAGTTGGATAATAAAAGTAATAAAGAGCAATCTGATGCTCGCTTGTTTAAGCCCGTTGGGTAAATTGTAACGTCAAATTAACGGTTGCAAATGTTTTTTGGTAACAATCTTATTAAGCGTGGGTAAAACGTACCATTCTCTCGTTTTCATTGATATTTCCATCATGAACTTATAAATAAAATCATTAATCGAAAAATGTCATTAAAGAGATTGTTTTTGAATATCGGAATTAGCTTCAAAGAGGAAAGATTTGTATTTTTGTATGTACTGATATAACTCAAAAACTACTGAGCCGATTTCAAAAATTCTTTCACTATAAAAAAGCTACGTTATCAATAAATAACATAGACTATATTTTTTTATTTCACACGTGCGAATTCGCGGGCATCAGCTAGTGTTTCATATAATACATGTGTAAATTCACCTTCAATTGAATGTTGCTTACAAAAAAAAAGCAAAAAGTATATGATCTAGTGTTTTTCCGCAATTATGCCGCGTCAATCTCTTTGCCTGTTAATGTCGACACAATAGAGCTAATGAAATTGGTCCCACGCGACATCAAGTATCAAGAAAACTTAAGCCGAATGGGACGTGACCTTGATCGGGCCAAGGACGAAGACGATTCGATCGCGGAACAAGGATCTCGTATCAAGGATTTTCGGGTATCCTATTTTACGTTGCATGTTTTTTATAATTTTTATATGTTTTTGTATAAATGATTATAAACATTGAATATATTAAATAAACACAATTGTAGACTAATTGGTTACTGATATTACGGAGAAAGGTGAAAACGTTAATTAAGCATGTTATCAATTAATTAATGGTGTATAAAAACATGTATTTTATGTAAAGTAGAACATCTTAAATTATTACATTTAAAAGACAGTTTTAATTAATTTTTTTTTGAAAGAGGAAAAAACAAAGCTCTTAAAATTTCATTCTATTTTCGATGGAAAATCATAAATCATAAGAAATGCTCATCTTAAAAACGGTATTCATTCGGAATTCCACGAAAACTATTAAATATTTTTTATTGTTAAAAGTAAACAGAAAACGAATAGAGCGTTCGTATCTCTTGTATAAACATCGGTCAAGTTTTATAACCGCAGTAAAAGCGCTGAACATCGCGCGGAAAGCGCTGTATTAAATATTTTCAGAGATGAAAACAAAAAACGTACGTAATTAAGAGTAAAGGCTACGGAACTAAATTACCTTTATCCATTGTTCGTTACGACTGCAGGCGATATTCGGCGGGGTATTACGAAAGGCGGGAACGATGAGGAGTAATGAAACACGTCCACCCTACACGGCTGTCCTCGAAAGACTGAGGCCCGCCCAGCCTCGCTGTGGCAAGGGGCAAGTAAGGGTACATACACACTAGCGATTATCAACGCTAAATTACTAGTAGCCAGTAAACAGATTTGACATAAGTTAGACTAGTAAACGTTTTGAATTAAGCGCCTGAAATAAAATTCGCAACAGAGGTAAGAGCTAAAATCGACTTATTAAATTCACTATACTTTTGGAGATTTTCTTGACAATAATACAGCTATACTAATATTATGAAAAGGAAAGAATTATATTTTTGTGTATAATGAAATAACGCGAAAACGACTGGGCTAATTTTAAAAATTTCTTTTCACCATTAAGAAGCTACTTTATCAGTGAGCTACACAGTCTACTTTTTATTTATTGTTTAAATTTACGCGGACGGAGTCGCAAGGAACAGCTAGTAGGACAAAAATTTATCGAATAATTTTTATCATTATTGCACAAAACTAGTACAAATAATTAATTACACATTCCCAACACACTTACGTTGTTTATATGCATCGCAACTTTTACAGTAGTATAAGGTAATAATCGATAGTGCAAAGGGGTCCTTAGGGTAAACTAGGCGCTGAATAGGATATCGTAACGAATAAGCGATTCGTTGACGGATAGTAATGTATTGTGAGGCAAACGCACGCAGAAACATAATCGCTAAAGGGAAATTTCGTACCCGGGAATTTCCATTAGCATAAGTGATAATTATGTTTTACTAGTTTTAGCCCGACTCAGTCAGTGTGAAATTAAAAAAACAAAGTAAACCGCCTATGTTTTCTTCCAGACTATCCTCTATAACCATGCCAAATTTCATCGAGATCCGTTCAGTTTAAACTCTAAACTCTAACAAACATCTATCCATCTAAACTTTCACATTATAAGATTAATATGTTATTTTGATAAATCCCCTAGAAAGACCTAGTAAATTTTTAATGGAAATAAAATGTAATTCTAAGTATCTCGTATCTAACAAAGTACCAACTCCTGATGGAAACGTCATTATGAAGAAAGAAATTATTATGACTCACCAATGTCGTGTAGTATCCAGTATTCTTGAGAAAATACTTTCTGACATTATTGTACGTAATTTTAGACAATAATGTAATCGTAACAATATAAATCTACTTCGATATTGAATCTACGGTTCATATGAATTGGCGCGCTCTTCCTCATTCAGATTGACATTGACATTTGACAGATGACAAAAGAGACGCATGATCTAGTGTTGCCTTGCTTGTCCGGTAATTGTTTATGCGACATAGGTACCTAGTTTCTTGGAGAAAAACACTGGTATTCAAAAGTGATTTCAAATTGGATAATCTTGTCGTCGTGATGTCAGTAAAATAAAATATTAAACCAGAGTGTGAAAACGCAAATGACGATTTATATTGATTAACGATATCCTAGTTTGAAGTTATTACATCAATGAGATAGATGTACGAGTATAGTAGTGTAATAAAATTCGGGTTGGTTTAGGAACAGAATGGAATACCTTTCAACTTGTATTTAATGCTTGAATCTAATCATCTTTAACAATGTTACGGTCGCAAGTGACATCTAGTGGGAAAATAATAAACCTTTTAATATACCAGTTGTTTTTATTTTAGTTTACAATTATTTCGATAGATGGCGTAATCATAAAATAAAAAACTCCAAATTGCTGCAATACATGTGTATACTAACGGTTTTTGGACAATGGTACTTAAATCTATCTTCTTAAATTATCTATCATCAGTAGTTGCTGGTATTAGAGTGGTAATCTTAGAGCACAGTAATGTCTCCGCCACAATAAGCTTAAGACTGTTTTCTCCTCGAACTTCTATTATAACTGATACTAGTAAAGTTTCGCTTTGTTCCCGTACAAACCCAAAAAGATATGGTTCTCCTGCCGTGGAAAATTTACGTTCCCTTAATGTGATCACAATAGCGCTCAGCATTGTCGGTTGTCGTGCTAACTGCTTTGCACTTACTGCACTGATGCTATTGTCATGTTCTGGAACCAGCTATTTTTTCCATTAGTGGTTGTCAAATTTTATTTAACATTAGTTTAGTTCGTACTAATGACAGTTACAACATACAGCATTCTTGCAGATTCATTGTCTACCAATAGCGGAGACTAACTATGCCACCCATTCCCCACCAAATATACACTTAAAATAACATAATATCTATAATAGATAAGACCAAGCAAATCATAATCGTTCGTAACAGAGCCGTGGACGGACATAGTTCGACTGACCCGACCCACATTCATACTAGCCAGTGTAACAGGAACTATACTCCACACAAAACTCATTCCTAGCTGATACAAATGAATGATAATTTGATACCGGGTTAGAGGTCTCGTTATACTGGTTAAGTGTCGCTTAGGGCAGTCCTTAATACCACTTGGTGGTTATTAAATAATGTAGTACTTATAAAAAATATAAATACATCAACTTTTGTTCATTTTTCATGCCTTCTTATAATGAAATTGCGTGATCGATACAGGTAAGTGAACTTGAACTTTCAGGACTGACTTCATTATTTTTGTACATATTATATAAAACTATACAAGATGTTGGTAAAGCTAACGTCAGCATTGACCTGAACCTTGTAAAATTCCCATTACTTTAAAGTGGATTCTACGGCTATTACTTTAAAGTTTTTTTTTCTTATAAAAAATAAATTGAATTATAAAAATATTTGCTATCTTTACATTAATTCTTGCAACAGTCAGACTAATATTTACAGCGTGTATATTTATTCAATGAGTTTACAGTTACATAGCGCAATTATCGGCCACATATTACGACAAACATCAACATCTGTAGATCAAGAGATTTCGGTAATCCGCCTCAACGTGTTATTTTTAACTACTTTAATCTATCAATTGGCCACATTGGAGCGACAGTTAAATAAGTGCTAGGTTTGTTCCACGCTGGCCTAACAAATGCACCCTGTATTTAGTAAGACTTTACTAATATTAAACGACGACAAAGTTTTTAATGTCTAGATTAATTTCGTATATTCTTTGTAGTTTAGCTAAATATCAGAAAATGCAGGAAAACATTTAATAAATCAAGAAAATCCTGTATTAATAAAATTCTGTAACTTTCTTGTAATGTTTATTTCCGAAACGTTGAGTAAGTTTTATTAAAACCGATAAGAAGTTGTTTACATTAATTCGCAACACTGTTACACAACAGCGATGCGAATTGCTAATGATTAAAATAATATGCTATTTGATTTATAAAAAAATGTATATTAAATTTGTCATAGATTATGCGGTGTCATAGAGCAAGAGACTTTTTAAGTTCGAGTCGAATAATGTTAGAAATAACGTTATTCATATGGATTAGATTTTACAAGAAAGTTGCCAGCGAGGAATTAAAAAATAGAAAAAAAAACATATTACTCACGGATAACGTAGGTCTTTAATGGTGAAAGAATTTTATAAATCAGCCCAGTAGTTTTTGAGATATTACAATACATACAAAAATCCATAAATACTAATCTTTCCTCTTTATAATATTAGTATAGATATTGATGTGTTTAAGGAACAGATTAATTAAATTATAATATTAGACACAAGTGGAACTAACCATTTGTGGTGGGTGTCTACTGTCTACCTAGGATTGTTCAGTGCATGCGACACCGACGGCAGAGTCGCACGTTCTTTCCGCGACATTCTATCGGAATGAGACTTTCGTCTTTAAAACTCTATGGAAAAAGTTTAAAAGGAACACAGTGATAAAATTTTGTCGCACCATTTTTTATTATTCCAGTGAGTATACTTTATCATGTTTTAAATTTTTGTTTTTATATGACGTTAATATACTTTGATCTCTGCCCTATTTTCATATTTAGAATAATATTAGTACGATTGATGTATTTATTAATTCTTTTAATAGATTCGCATCAATAACATCAATAATTATAATTAAAACATTTTTAAATACTTGGCAACTTTATCTTCATAGCTGTTATTTTATTTATTGAAATATTTCTAGATTAAATTAACATAAAAGAATAATTGAAATTAATTTGTTTATTTTTAAACAACAAAAAGAATAAGGTCGATAGAATCGGCCAGCTAAAAATGTAGCCAGCTGAATGTTTACACACAAACGAGCTGCTAAAAATAGTATAGGGTAGGTAGGAGTGATAATAAATTTCCGATATATCACCGCGACTAAATAACTAGTTCAAGATCGTATCAATGGATTCCCGGACAATATTTTTGATAAAGCGCTAGTACTATTTGGATTCGGTCCAGGTACGAAAATACAATAGTTAGAAATGTCTCGATGCAAGTCTGCCTGGGCCACTGATAGCCGCTAATGTCACTCTGACGTTAAAACGCATATTTAAAATTCTCCAACCGATATTCTAAGCAGAGTGATACATTCCTACATACCTCAGTCTATTCTAATAGTGAAGAGAAAATGTTTTGTTTTTAAAATACTCAAACAATTACGATGTTTTAGCAAATAATAAGCTCTTTTATCACCGACTTAGTTTAGGTTATGTTTTCTTTTAAATCGTATATTATTTATGTGTCTTATTTTTTATTTGCTATGTTTTTTATGAGGCTTATTAGCTTAGCTAATAATAGCATTAATTATTTATTTATTACTATTATTATTTACTTATTACTACTATTTTGGCGTCGGTCGCCTTTCGATTAATACATTTATCCTGCGATCTAACTGTGAATGAAAACAGCGCGATGAAAGCTGCACAAACCAACGGAGAAATTCAAAGATATGTGTGAAGTTATAAAATTCCTTTTTCTTTTACTAAGGTTAACTCACCTTGTCATTATTTAATTATATTGTTAAGATAGTTATATCGTTTTAGTTGTCATAATATATTCCATTGCAGAATATGTTATTTTAAAATAATTGAAGTTGTTTAAAAAGAAGTGAAATGAGTAATGACATATTCAATGGAATGTCATTTTTTTATTTTAAAATACTGTATAATCTATACATATAATAAAATTGGAGTGTCTGTTTGTAATATCAAATGAAAAATTCCATATTTCGGGAATATGATGATATTTGCGTTACTGATAACTCTGATTTGAATATTGCATTTAAAATTATTTTATCTGTCTGTCCGTCCACGTTTGTTCCGGGTAATCTCCGAAACGGCTGGGCCGATTACGACCGGACTTTCACTGAAGTAGGTGACATAGACGGGCATATTATAGGCTACTTTTTTCTTGATATTGCGCAGACGAAGTCGCGGGCAACAGCTGGTTCATTATAATGTTCGTAAGACACGAGTTTGTAGCTTCCGTTTGATATCACAATTTATCTATTGATAGTCTTTGTTCAGATCAAGATGTATTTAGGTTTTGATTACAATTCACTTACGAAAAACGAGTCAAGACAAGACTTTCTTTTGTTTTGTCTATATTTTTATTGAAGTCCTAATATTATCCAAGGTTATTATTAATTTATTATTATTTTTACGACTTATTGTAATAGAGACTATGCACTGATGTATGTTACATACAATAGGTATATCAATATCAATCGATAGTCGTTTGTTTTATTAATCATTGTCAGTACTAGTTTGTATATATAAGGAAGCAACGCGATAGGACGTAACACAATAGTACGAAGTAATTTCGGACTTACGAGAAGACGACATCTTACGAGAAAAATTGTATCTCTGGTCAGTTTAGTCAGTGATAAAATAGCTTTTTAATATGGAAACAATTTTAGCAATCGGTTCATTAGTTTCGGAACATATTTAATGAAAATAATCAAATCTTTCTTCTTTATTATATTAGTATAAATTACTAGTGTAATTACGTAAAGTTAGTATTCTGTGGGATTTTACTGTCGTAAAATCATATATGAAGCAATAATTTTTAACAAGTACTTAATTTAAAAATCACAATGGAAAAACAACCACATATCGAAAACATTCGATTGAGGCCAACGAAATATAAACTATGTTTAAACATTTCGTTTATTTGTACATCTTGTGTTACTTACATGTAATACTAATAACCATACTTTATGCTACTATTTGTTACTTTGGTTTACTTTTTTTATTTTTATTTCAACGCGAATAATTATATCGCAAAATGTCGATAATCCATGCACTTATGTATTACGAGAAATGCATCAAATGTCAAGAGTGTGTAAACAAAAGAGTAAACAGGTTTTAATGTTTTCACTGCAAGGAATGCGTAATATTGTTACATGTGGACAAGATCCATTCTGAGTCATACGTACGACTTTTGTGAGAAAATAGTAGTTCTTAAAAATAACCAAACCTGAGATTTGTTTAAAATTTATTTGCTGAAAACATCACAGAATCATGCTAAAGGGAAGTAACCGGAAGCCGTCGTGTAATAGAAAAAAACGTAGTTAAATTGTCTGTTAATAAACAAAGTATTATTTTTTACATATATGCCAAATTTCATCAATATCCGTTCAGCAGTTTAGGCCACAAACTCTAACAAACATCATTCCATCCATCTCAAATTTAGCATTTACAATATTAGTAAGATATAGTATTAGTAAGATTGTAGAACAGTATCTAGAGTCTTAAAGGGAAATGTACGGGATATAAGCGCAACCGGAGCGCAATTGTGCACTAAACGACCGTAAGTCACAAGAGAGGTCACTGACCTTTAGATGTGGCTTGCTATTTCTCTCAATGAACACCTCCGTGAGGTCAATTGATTGTCTCTGACGTCATCGCATCTTATCTATTTATAACATGCATTATTTATGTTGAATCTAAACTTCGATATTAATATAATAAAGTGTAAACACACACTTCTTTGTTGCCTAAGATATCAGCAATTACAGCATATTTTTGAATAATTACTTATTTAATAAAAAGCCCTACACATACGATACGCTTTAGTCTATATACTTTCACGGTATTAAACTTAGGTGGTAAATAAATTGGAAAAAACCCTATATGTGTGAAAGGGATAATAAACTATCAAATGCCAACTTTAAGCAAAATTATTATGGTAGCAGTAATTTTGACATTTGCAATTGAGAATTCGACAAAATTTAATTTCGCAATTAAAAGTCGCACGTAAACAGCTAGTTAAATATAAAAGGAATCTAGATGAAATAATGTATGCAGATTAGAGTATAAAAGAGATTTTTTTTTTCTAACCATATAAAACTAGGCGGTGTCTTTTCTTGTAAATGTATGAATATAATGTTGCTTTCATTATGAATTCCTGTAAACTTTTAAACAGTGTGTCACATTATTAAATGATCTGCATAACTTATACAACATATCTTATATAAATCTGCCACATTCTCATATGTAATTATATTTATATAAAGTAAAATATAAGTCAAATATTTTCCTTTTAAAAGATATTATAAAACACAGCCATCATACTAATATTATAAATGCGAAAGTTTAGATAGATGGATGGATGGATGTTTGTTAGACTTTGAAGCCTAAACAGCTGAAGGGATCTCTATGAAATTTGGCATAGATGTAGAGGATAGTCTGGAAGAACACATAGGCTACTTGCTTTTGTTTTTTTATTACGCGCGGACGGAGTCGCGGGCGTAGGATAGTAATATATAACGTCAACAGTAAGACCTGAGACTGTCGTTACTGCTGTTGAATAAATTACAATAAACCGAATAACACCTTGATATTTAAAACCAGTCAAGCCATTGGCCACATTGCAAATTGTGAAAAACCGTGTAAAAACTGTGCATGTTATGGGAGTCGGGTAATCCATCTATGCTAATATTATGAAAAGGAAAACTTTCTATTTTTATACACATATTGAAATAACTCAAAAACCACTGAACCATCTTAAATAATTGTTTCACCATTAAAAAGCTACGTTATCAGTGATTAACATAGACTGTATTCTTTATTATTTTTTTTAATTTCACGCAGAAGAAGTCGTTAGCAACAGCTAGGTTGGTAATAAAATCATAACACTTAACTCTATAGTATTTAACATTTGACAACTAATTTCGCAGGTACACCATGGGGTCAATGTTCAGGAGCGAGGAGATGGTGCTATGCCAACTCTTCGTGCAGCCAGAAGCCGCATACATATCCATGTATGAATTAGGAGAGGCGGGAATCGCACAGTTCAGAGACGTAAGTATTAGTAATATAAATGTACAAAATGGCTCATTGAGAAAGTGCTACTAGGTTCTTTCAAAGAGGTAAATACCTATTGGCGCATTGGCTCGTTGAAAAATCTACAAGCAATTTTAAAACGACAAAATGGCATTTTTTGGTGTTGGTGTTGGTTCGGAATTTTTCAGAGCTCCGTCTTTTAGGGGGAAGACAGTGTTATTTAGTATTTGGCCCCGTAAAAACTATTGGCCAATCTCAAGTGTGGTGGAAGGTTCCAGAATCATCAAGGAACGGAATCCAATAGCTTATTTTGTGACGTATAACCATGCGCTGTACATTTAAATTCATCTATTAACGCATAAACATTGTACAATTTTGTTAAATGTATTACAATCATGTTGCTATTATATTTTACATACGTAATCTCTTAAAAAGATCTTTTTGTGTTGTTTGTATACGTTTTAATTAACATTGTGTTTATTCTACAATATGCAAAAATCGCCATAACAGTATGTTTAGTAAATGCATATTTAGTTTTGTTCAATTAAACTCGAGAACATATAGACAATTATCTTTTGGTAAAATCAACAGTCTTTATCTTCGAACAACATGCAATTTTGACATCCAAAAGACAGTAAACACGAACATTGACTGCTTTAACTTTTCGATGCACAAAATAAACTCAAATAACGAACATGTGCGATAGTCGATTGTTTCGCAGCCATTTCAACTGTTTAGTTGCACAACTAAAAAACGAGTAGTGTACACCTCCATATAAGCTCATAGCAATCACAGCGAGACTAAACAGTTGTGCGATAGTTTAGTTTTATTCTCTGACAGCAAGACACGTACGTAAATACAGTTCATTGAAAAACTATCTAACAATGGGCTTTAACCGTTGAGATAAAACAAACTGAATATCGACAAAGTTGTTATCGACGGCAGTTTGTTTTGACAACCGCTGTACTAATAAGATAGGAATGTTTATTAAAACAAATTCCTGTTAAGAACACACTAATTATATTGAAGTATTTCTAGTACACAATTTATTTATAAGAATTAATCAAAATTAATTATAAATGCGAAAGTTAAGATGGATGGATGGATGTTTGTTGGAGTTTGTAGCCTAAACGGCTGAACGGATTTCGATAAAATTTGGTACAGATGTAGAGGATAGTCTATAAGAACAATTAGGCGACTCACTTTTCTTTTCTTATTAATTCCACGCGAACGGAGTCGGGCGAAAGCTAGTAAGAAAAAATATTTGTAATACATGTTCACTGAAATCGTTAGTTTAGTGGCTTTTTGTGCTATTCTCACAGGACTCTTATGTTACAACGATATGGATTCCGCTGTTATTGTTATTTTTAACCGACCTCCCAAAAGGAGATTCTCAATTCGTCTGTATATATTTTTAGAAGAAATTAATAATCATGTTGCATTTACTATTACATAAATAATTTTAAAGCGGTTACTATTATCACTTTAAAATTTACTTCCAACAAAAACGTCTATACTTGTCTTTGTCGCTTATGTTAAACTCACTTTCACCTATAGACAGTTGACAGGCGAATTGTTTTCACCTTGTTTTTGTTAACAATTTGAAAGTTAATTTTGTAAACGACCTTCCGTTTTCCTACATCGCGTAAATGCATAGATAAATATGGTAGACTTTAAGATTTTCAAAATCTATACAAGTAACTTAATAAAAAAAATTAATAGTGTATTAAAAAGGTAGTAATTCGTAGTAGGGGTAATAGAATTATAAAAACATTTAATAAAAACGTCATCTTTCCTTTCTTATATGTTCTTAAATTAATGAAAAAGTATCTTATTGCCTTGATATAAAAATCGGAATGCAAAACTAGTTTATTAGTAAAGGTCATGGTCGGGGTCAAAATCGCTGATAATGTGACAAAGATATTTTGTACGACATTTTATCACAATACGTTAGTTGCCTATTGTAAGATTTATTTATAGCTCGTACACGGAACGGCAACGTGTTCCTAACGTAACTTCGTAAATATACGAAAAAAAATCTTAATTGATAATTAAAATAATTTAAATTAAGTGTTAGATTATAAAAATCCGCTCTCTTTTTTAATACAACAGTTATGTTTAATTATTTATTATGATTTCGGTTATATCTCTGTCTTCATGTTAAAAAATGCGTCACGTATAATCAAATTTCGTTACAAGACAGAGATAGAAGATATAGCGTGAGTTGTGAAAAAGAGAGATAGCGTATTTTCAAGACGGTGCTGGCATCTTGTAGTAATTAAGTTTTATTTTGTAGATGTTACAGATATTTAGGTATATGTTTTAATGTTAATTTGGCGTGTATAGCGTAGCTTTTAAACTACTATATTCTTGTTATTTTAGGCTAATGAAGTTTAAATACTTTGCTATAAAGAACAAGTCATAAATCTTTGTTGTATTTTTTTAAACTCTACATCTAGTAATTAAGGGTATCACGAAAGTCCATGCAAATAAGGGATCGTTAACCCTTTGAGTGCAGTGACATGGAAACATTTTAACAGTTTCTTTTTCAGTGAATACACAAAGGGTTAATGTACAATAGATTTGTAATGAACAAACAAAAGATTATAATCTATGGTTTGTTAATACAAAGATTGATTAATATCTTTACTATTATAATAAAGCGTAAACACACACTTCTTTGTTGCCTAAGATGTCAGCAATTACAGCATATTTTTGAATAATCTTTTTTTTAAATAAAAAGCCCTACACTTGCGTCACGCTTTAGGCTATATACTTTAACGACATTAAACTTAGGGGTAAAAATTTTGGATAAAAATCCTAATGTGGGAAAGAGACCATAAGGTGCTGCCAATATCAAGGAAACAAGATTGCCAAGGTTTGTCATGTCATGTCAGTTTGACATTTGGTATTGATAATTTGACAAATGTAAACAATATAATATTATTTTCATAATTTCATGCGGATGAAGCCGCGCGGGAACAGCTAGTAGACTATAAATTAAAAACAAAGGATATATAATCTATGGTTTGTATTAATATTGCATAAAGTTGCAGATTTAAAGATTAAACAGCTATGCGTCATTTAATCCTTTGATATTGTACGGTTTTCCTTATTGCAAAAATGAATTATTATTCGATTAGTTAGTATTGTAAAAGTAGATTTGTTTGAAAATTATATTTAGGAGGTTTATATTATTCCAGAAAAAATCCAGTAAAAGATTTTCACCTATTCTAATATCATAAAGAGGAAAGATTCGTATTTTTGTATTATACCGAAATAATTCGTAAACTATTATACCGATTTCAGAATTTCTTGCACCATAAAAAAGCTTTGTTATCACTGAGTAACATAGGTGACATTTTTATTTTTTTAATGTCAAGCGGACGAAGCCGCGAGCAACAGCTAGTAAAATTCTCGTATATGTAAAATATTAAATAATTAAATTTATTTATAATAGCTAAACAATTGAGCTGTAACATGTACCACAAACTACTAATAATTAATTTTTCATACTAATCAGCGGCACGCATAAAACCATGCACCGAAGCTCTCACAATAAAATCTTCAAAGCGCAAAACTTTAAAGTGATCGTAAATTAGAAGCGTAACAACGTCTTAATAAAATCACTATCGCTTTTGGGTTTAGTTCATTGACGTATGCGTTTTACATTTAAAAATAAATTTCAACTAATTAGGTATTAACACGAAATTAATCAGATTTCTTTTAGACGTAGTATAACTGAAAACATTATAGGAAGAGGAAATATCTCTATGTGTCATCTCCTTCATAGATCAAAAGTTATGCATCTTTTGTTTAATGACTGAGTTGTCACTGCTTGCCTTAAAGAGGTATTTATAGCACCCCGGGCTTGAGATGGTCGAGCGCAGATGGCGCTCAGCCTAAATCTCGTTTATGAGTAACTAAGCTCGAGGGCTCAGGAGCCTCGGCTCGGGTTGAATACCAGATTGGAGTAATGCATCTAAATAGCGGATGTCTATGGGAAGCGGTTGTTTATCATTTCGACGAATTCTGATGAACGCTTGCTCTTTGGCGACCTTATGACATAAACAAATTTCAATTATTATTTTCCCTACAATCTTTTTGACAAAGGTAAAATATATTAGAATTTTACGGTTAGAACCCTAAACGTTAAAACATTGATATCGTGACTTACTTGACATAATTAAAAAATATTCCTCCATGACTAAGTTATGAATATTACAGTTACGCACGCATCTAGGAAATGAGTTTCCACGCCTGTCCTAGACCCTTGGTGCCTCGTTATTTTGTGTTGGGAGCGGCCATTTCGTGACCTGCTATCGATTTGACAGCAGTGCCGTTTTATTCAGGCAGCTTACCCTTTATAAGTGCTGTCCATGTAGGCCAAGGATGAGTTTTAAAAAAAATGAAGGGAAAATTCTGTTTCGGTTTTACATGAAACTTCACTTGATGAAAATTAAAAAATATTCCAGAATTAGACTCGGAGTAAATTAAAAATCTAACAGTTAGCGTGGTATGGACATATGCGGAGCAGATAAACAAGAAAGTATTAAAACTTAATGGATGTGGATGGCTACAAAGAAAGATGAAGACCGAAGAAAGTATGGATGGATTGTGTGAAAGAGTATATGCGTAAGAAGAGAGTGAATTCAGACATAGTTGATAGAGATAGGCACATACTGTGCTGACCCTCCGTAGAGACATGAACAGGTTGATAATGATGATTGTTTATTTAATAAGTTTATTTCTTTGTTTATAATTGTAAACTAAAAAATAAAACACAAACACAAATATATAGAAAAATAATAATAACCACAGTAACAATACAACAGACAGAATGTATTCTATCTATTTTTTGAGTTCTTTTTTATTCAACGCATTTTATATTGTACAGTACTAATATTGTGAACGATGGAATGTCTTTTCACTAGAATCATTTGTTAAAAGGTCACTTTTACTACGGAAAATACGTATGAAAACAAATGACATAATGCGTATAGTGCGGAAAATTCTACGGAATCAAAGCTATCGCATTACTATCAAATACTAACCCCGAAACCCGTAGTTATAAAAGTTTCGTGTATTATTTTCGATATCATTACCTCTAATCTACACTATTGTAAAAAGGATGAATACCTTTTTATCAAGTTTAACCTTTTTAAATCCTTGTAAAGTTATCTTTTTTTTTAAAAAAAAAATTGGAAAACCATCGCTTGACCACTATCCCACCTAGACCAAAGTGAAGATGTGGTCGAAGGATGGTACGCGCTACTAAAAAAATTAACTAAAAAGTAGTTTAGTAAATCATACTAATATTATAAATGCGAAAGTTTAGATGGATTTATGTTTGTTAGAGTTGTACGAGTAGAGTAGCCTAAACGACTTGACGGATTTCAAGAAATGCAGATGACAGCCTGAAAGAACACATAGGCTACCCATTTTTGTTTTTTATTATACCATGCGAACGGAGTCGCGGGCGAAAGCTTGTTTATAATATTTTTAAAAGTTAAAAAAAGATTTCATGCCATTTAATTAACACTAAGTAATTAAGACATACTAAAGATTTTGACTTTTAAACAAACATAAATGCTTAAACTCAAAGTAACGTTATTGCGTAAATCCATGAACGTAGAACAAAGATGGCTGTTTAAAATTCATCGCGTTATGAAGCACCTACAGATTTGCATTATAACTGAATATTTACATTAAAGCGTAGGATGAGCGCATAGCTATTACTAATCGTGGCAATGATTATATCCATGTTATGACCACAAAGTTATATTACATGTTTAATCAAACATAACACAATTTAAATGAATCTAATAAAGTAGTGAAACAAGGGCTTAAATAGGCTTATTATCCACTGAACGAAAAACACTACCCTGAAGTCATAACATCATTAAATTCAACCTAATAGGTTGATGATTTTATGAACATTTCCATAGGCATTTAGCTTCTGTTTTAGTTTAACTTCTCTATTTACATCAAATGAAGACGAATAAAGTTGGAAGAAAATTGAAGGACCGTGGCCAGAGGTAGAAATGAAATGACTGCTGGATAAAACCATTCAACAGTGGTAGAGCCCGCTTTAACATCTTCGCACGAATGGGTCGGCTCGCCCAGTGCAATACCACGACCACATTGAAAACTGACGTCAAGTGAAAGCTATTCCGCGTGTCCTATGATGTGTGTGGAGCTGGAGGCCTAATTTTAATCCCTTTTCCTTGCTACTTAGGAAGGGATGGCAAGGTAAATTAGATTTGACGGTGGAGAAGACGCACAGGAAAGGGAAAATATCTTTATGTGCGTGTCCACCTCCGTCGATTAAGGGTAGACAACGCATTTGCAATTGCGGATGTCTATGGGCAGCGGTCGCATCGCCATTTCGGCGGTTTCAGGTGGCCGCTTGCTCGTTTGCCGTCTCATAATATAAAAAAACTAAGACCCTCAAAGGGCAGTAGATCTATAAGTATTAAGATGCGTGAAACGGAATCAACACATTTAATATATTGTGAATTGATATTAGATGACATTATGACGTTACGAGGGACACTAAAGCCGCGCCTTAACCCAAAAGTACGGCACATCATTCACATTCCGGCTTCCAGTTTTATTGATATTGGGTTTCGATATGTAGCGTTCACAAAAAAAAAAAACATTATTTAATATTTATTCGAAGTAAAAGATTTTACTTCTGGCATTGAATAGCTTTTTCTGGCTTATGGCCACTTGGATAAATTGCACTATTAAGTAGACACTGACAATTAAAAAATATATTCTAATGTTAATTACAAAAGACATAGTAACAATAATTTATTATTTATCTTAAATGCCAGCGACCATTTGACCTCAATTAACATCAATAGAGGACCCAGGCAGTTGACAATTTGGTGTTTTTGCGTTGACATTTCCATGAAATTTATGGCCTTTGTGATAGTGACATTCGTGTTATTTTCTTTTTTAATAAGGAAGCCAAAAAACTTTAAGTCTAATAAAACATTTGTAATAAAAAACGACTTATCAAAATTTTCAACAGCAATATCAACAAAACATACAAATTTGGTGTTCAGTAGTGTACACTTGTGTTTGGTCTGTCTATAATATCCATTTAATGTCTTATCTGTAGCTTACAATCACAAATATATGTACTATATCCCACTTTACATAAAGGAGAGTATATTTTAAGTGCAAAATACAATCTCTTGGGCTAACAAGCAGTATGATATGAATACAGCCAAAGAGGTTGCATACTGGCCACCAATAATTTTGAGTGGTGTCTTATTAGAAAGATAGAAAAACAAAAGACGGAAAATACTAGAAAAGATGTTATCGCGATATTGTTTTGTTATATGATTTTAAATAAGTTTTTAATATGAAGGTTTAAGTTGGAAGAAACTATTTGTTTTGTATTTTACTGTAAATTAATGCATATGTTAATCCAGTGACTTTTATCAGGTGTGAAGGGTAATTAAAAAGTTAATCAAAAAGCAGAATCCCTAGCTATCTTACTGACAGATAGAGATCCTGGTACCGTTATACTCGTGTTATAGGAACATCCATATAAATTTAACAGCCGCAGTCGGCGGTCGGCAGAGCGTTGAATTACTGCCCTATTTTAATCAGGATGTAACAATTTCATGCGCAACACTGTTGCCACAAAAATATACCGTTCTCTTTGATAAGTTGAACATAATGTTTAGACTACAGATGTTAAAATTCAAATCTCAATTAATAAATTCGTACAACGTGAAACGGTAGTAATCGTTCAAGAAATGCGGCTAAAATAATTAAATAGACGTCACACGTCTTATCTTATCTCCATCGTTGTAATATTGATACGTTACATTTCAACAAGGGATTAAATGATAAGAGAACGACCCTTTCGTGTATTACAAGCTTTACAAGTGACAACACTTGTATTTCTCTGATAACTTCTTCTTTGTGTTGTTCTTTGAGGAACATTGACGTTCTTAAATAATATCCACTAGCTTTCGACCGCGACTCCGTCTGCGTGGAATTTAAAAAAGTAGCTTACGTATTCTTTCAGGCTATACTCTACATCTTTGCCAAATCTCCTTAAGATCCGTTCAGCCGTTTAGGCTACAAACTTTAACAAACAGCCATCCATCGAAACTTTCGCATTTATAATATTAGTAAGATTTTCTGTTAAATTTCATATAATTTGTACCCGCATGTTTTATATCAAGCTTAAAATAGCTGAACCCTTAACTTAGCAGAATTTTATTTTTTAGAATAGCAAAATAATATTCATAGCACTTAGCCTTGATGACCCAAGATGTCTAAAAAAAAATAATAAAAAAAAAATTCTGATGTATCTCTACAGATACACTAACAAGAAAAGGGTTAATAAAAAAATTGAAACCTTTTACACTAAAGATAGTTATCAAACAATTCACTTTGTAAGTGTTAAAACTACAGAAAAACCTAAGTATAAATATAATCAGGTCCATACATTACGTAATCACTTGAGATCGAGCGGACAAGTGGAGGTGTTCATTGTCATTTCAATTAGCAAACAGTAATTGCTGCGATATACCAGCTTGTAATCACATACTCGTGGATAATATTCATTACACTAAATCCCTTTAGTACGCAGAAGCAACTTTACGCTAGAAATACATTAATTATCTATAAAATGTACACAATTTTACGTATTAAGATATAGCTTCTTCAACTTCTATATACATTTTTATATCAAACGAGCGAGCGGCCACTTAAATGCGCCGAGAAAGCAAAGCGACCGCTGGGCATATATATCTGCAATTGCAGATGCTTTGCCTACCCTTAATCAAAGGAGTAGACGCACATAAAGTGGATATTCCTACTCCCCTATCCGTCTTCTTCACCGTCAAATCCAGTTTCCCTTCCCTAAGTAAATAGTGGGAAGTTAAAGTGAGTAACATTAGGCCTCTGGTACTACACTCACAAGACGAATTGCAGAATTGCCATAAAATTCTTGTAGTAATGTATTCTTTTATTTTTAGTTGAACCCTCACGTGAACGATTTCCAACGTCGCTACGTCTCAGAAGTACGTCGCTGCAGCGAGATGGAGCGCAAGCTGCGATATGTCCGCGGTGAGCTGCCCGAACCTCCTCCACCTCCGAAACCCTCGCCTACACTACTCAGCCCACGGGAGATCAATATATTGGAGGTGAGGAACCCCATTCTTATACATACAATCGTCTTAATTAAGGTAGCTACGAGCTACGAAAGTGCTACGGCTAAAACGGTGCAAGGGTCTACAAATGCTAAGTATACCTTTGCACTCTAAAAATATGCAAAATTGTTTTTTTTTTTATGAATGAAACAATCCTTCAATACTAACCATTCGCAAATGTAAAAAACGCCACTATAATTGAAGTAGTAAAATTAAATTGCAAAGCAAATCAAAAAGTCTCTGGCATTGAATGTGTTATCTGTTTGTAGTCCGGTATTACTGAGAACTATCGAAGTAGACCGGTTTGTATTCCGTTAGTCTAAAAATATCAGAGATTCTTTTCAACGTGTAATTCCGTATAATTAATGGCATTGCACGCTGCGAGGTATGTATAATCAATGGGTGGAGAAATAGTGCCAACGTCAACACTGACTCAGAATTTCAATATATCTATTTCTTAAAACATCCGACGATACCAGATGGCCAATAACGAACCACTAAGTGTTTAAGTGCTCATAAAATAATAAACTGAATTGAGTTCTCGACTCAATCAGGAGAACAATACTCGATAAACATTATTTTCAACATATACATAGATACAAAAAGAATTATTCTTTGAATTGGTACGTTACCAAAACGTACGTAATATGAAGTCAATAGTGTTTAATGTAGAAACTTAACCCATATCCTTTTTTCCAGGAAAGAATAGACTACGTCGAGTCAGAGATTCAAGAAATAACCCGTAACGCTCAAAACTTGAAGACCGATTACCTCTCATTGAAGGAACTCAAACTTTTAATAGAGAAGACCCAAACGTTCTTCCAAGATCACAGTCATCATAGAAAGATCTCCGCGTCAGTACAAGTGTACAACAATGAAGGGGTCTTGGGACATCTTGGTTTTATCGCAGGAGTGGTAGCGACCCCGAAGGTGCCATCGTTTGAGAGGATGCTGTGGAGGATATCTCATGGGAACATCTTCTTCAAGCAAGCTCAGATTGACGAACCGCTTAAAGATCCGGTCACTGTAAGTTTAAAATACCACAGTACTATTGTTCGCGACGGTATTTCTAAATCGCTACAACTTAGGGCCCCTAAGCGAGAATATCGCCTTCTGAAATGACGGCAACGCATCTGCAGTTTCTCTGGTATTGCGGACGTCCATTGGCGTCGATAATCACCTCGGTATTCCTGCTATTCGTTTCTCTCTTTCTGTCATAAAAGAGTTTCTATACTATTCTTGGAACTCTACTTCCTTCACTTTTGTATTTATTATACCGTTAAAGATATTGTCAATCGTGAAGCAATCGTGTTTTGTTTCACTAATATTCGATTGGATCTCGTAGAGCGTAGAACTACATACGAACGTCATTTAATCAAATTACCGACAACCGACTACCGGTGGATTTCCTACTGAATTCCGGTTCTTTCAAGATCTAACTATTTTAATAGAAATTGCACCTTTAAGGTTAACTAGACTTTTCTAGCATTATTATGGTTGCAAGACATAAACACTTTGTAAGAATATTTGACCATACACTACTCTCATTAAGACTTTGACAATTTGGTAAGCAAGAATAGTCTATAGAATATTTTTAATAATCTTATAACTAGATAATAATATTCTTTATTCGAATAGAAGCGAATGACCTGTTCGTTTGACCATTAGGGAGTCTATCTTGGCAATAAACGGTGTATTTTAGTTCATAATTTGTTAACATTAACTGCTAATTAAAATTCAATACGTTGTTTGATTTGGAACCGTCTTGTTACAGATACAAGCCGATATTTACAAAACAATCGTTCCATACAGATTACAGACATACGCGTACGTCGCTTTATTTTCACAAACGTACCAGAAGTGTAAAAGAATTTTAAACATGCATTTCACTATATAGATGATAAAATAGATTGTTTATTAGCATATACTCTTGCTTTATATATCCTGTCTTATTTCTATCTTAGGATACGATTTAAAATTCAGATACATGAGGAAACTCCAGAAAAATAGGTCATCGTTGAATCTAGTTACCGCAATCGTTAATGTCCTTAGATATAAAGAAAGAAGGTAATACCAACCGGATAATGCTGGTATTCACTTATGAATAATATTTATTTTAATATGTAAGGGAAGATGCAATCTAAACAAGCTTATCAGAGGTAGTGCCCGCTTTAACATCTTAGCACGAATGGGCCTCCACACCCGGTGTAATACCACGACCACACAGAAGACAGGCGTGAAATGGAACTAATGCCGTGTTTCGTCTGATGAGTGTAGGGCCGGAGGCATAATTTAAGTCCCTTTCTCTTTACCACCCTTTTCTTATGAGAGGATGGGAAGGGGAAGTGGATTTGACGATGGAGGAGATGCTTAGGAAGAGGAAATATCCTTTTTATGTGCGACTCCTCCTCTGTCGGTTAAGGGTAGGCAAGGCATCTGCAATTGCAGATGTCTATGGGCAGCGGTCGCTTCGCCATTTTGGCGGATTCAGGTGGCCGCTTGCTCGTTTGCCATTATATGTTATAAAAAAAAAACATATTTCTAACGTAAATAAAATACAATTAGTATTATCTACTAGTATTCTTTATATTAAACTCAAATTGTTGAAAACGTAAAAAAATGAATCTTGCTTTTAATACCAACAAAAGAATTGTGATTACGAGCCCATTAGTACGGTGAATAGTAAGCAAGTATGTGTCGGTCGTCAACCCTTGTTTTTAATATTGATTTTTCAAACGGCTTACCGCCGCAATGCTTTTTATAAAGAACTAGACGCTTATAGAAAACGACGTATAGAAAATAACTTACGTTAGTACCATAAGAAGTACACAAAAATGTCTTAATAAATCTTTTCCACAGTAGAATTAAAACTTAGTACTCGACTAAATCAGTAACTAAATAAGTAACGAAGTAAATTAGTTTAAAGATAGGATCATTGTTAACATATAAACATACTAATTTCAAGGGTCATGAACTGCAGAAGACCGTCTTCGTGGTATTCTTTCACGGTGAACAAATCAAATTAAGAGTGAAGAAGGTCTGCAACGGCTTCCAGGCTACGTTATACCACTGTCCTGCCACATATAAGGAACAGCAAGAAATGTTGGCTGGAGTTGACAGCAGAATCAAAGATTTGGAGATTGTAAGTACTATGTAAGATCTAAATGGCCGATAATTATAAAAGAAACTCACAATTTTCAAAGGTTCATTGCAGTTTAAAGAAGCAAACGAGTAGGACAACAAAAATGTTATACTCGTATACACAACTACCAGTTTAACGTATCCCAAAATTTGAGAACAAGACATTGATGAACTGAATTGTACTTAGATTTTCTAAGAATGTACTTGTATCATACTAATATACTGCGAAAGTGTAGATGGAGGTATGGATGTTTGTTAGAATTTGTAGCCTAAACGGCTGAACAGGCAATGAAATTTGGCATAGACGTAGAGGATAGTCTGGAAGAAGACATAGGCTACTACTTCACAGACGGAGTTGCGGGCGAAAGTTAGTTTTTTAATAAAATCATGTACAGGTGCTAGAACAAACAGAGCAGCATCGTCGGCTGGTGCTCGCAAACATCGCTCGCGATCTTAGCACGTGGCTGGTAGCGGTGCGCCGGGAGCAGGCCATCTACCACACGCTCAACATGTTCAGTATGGACATTGTCAAGAAGTGCCTTATCGCTGAATGCTGGGTACCACGCACAGATCTACCTATACTACAGAAAGCGTTAGACAATGGAGTGGTATGTACAAATATCTTACTAATATCATAAATGCGAAAGTTTAGACGGCTGAATCAACGTTTATTAGAGTTTGTAGACTAAAATGCTGAACGGATAGTGATGAAACTTTACACAGATGTTGAGGATAGTCTAGAAGAACACTTTGGCTAGTTGCTATTTTGTAATACTACTCGGAATCATTTACGGGCGAAAGCGAAAACAATAAATATTAAGGGGTTACCAGCAGTGTTTTTAAAAAAAAAAAAAACAAAGCATGAAGAAGAATGTTTGAGGTTCAACTTACCTCAAATCTATCGTTACTTACAAGAGTTTATATTTCAAGTGAAAATATCTATTGTGTCTTGTCAATATCGTGTTTATAAAGTTCTTGTACAATTTCAGAAAGCCAGCGGTAGTCCTATCCCGTCGTTCCTGCATCACGTGCCGACACACGAGACGCCGCCCACTTTCAACCGAGTGAATAAGTTTACACGCGGCTTTCAGAACCTCATCGACTCGTACGGTGTTGCTAGCTATAGAGAAGTGAATCCAGGTTGGTATAACTTTGTATTAAAACCTTTGCTTTCAACCTTTTCTTCACATTTAGAGCGGGCACATATTTGACTAAACTATCGCACAACTGTTGTGTGATTGACGATTATTTCGCAGTTCAACTGTTTAGTTACACAACTAACAATCGAGTGTGCGCACATATAAGCTTATTGGAATCAAAGCGACTAAACAGTTGTGCGACAGTTCAGTCAAATGTGTGCATGCTCTTAGACTTTTCTTTATCGGTTTTTATTTTTTTTTAAATTTCCAGCCTTGTATACAATAATTACATTCCCCTTCCTATTCGCGGTGATGTTTGGTGACGTTGGCCACGGCCTTATTATGACCACGTTTGCTGCGATCATTATTATATTAGAGAAGAGACTGGCCAAGAAGAAAACAGATAACGAAATCTGGAACATATTCTTTGGAGGTCGATATATTATCTTACTGATGGGCATATTCTCCATCTACACCGGTTTGATATACAACGATATGTTCTCCAAATCTCTGAACATCTTCGGTAGCAGTTGGAGGAATACTTACGACAATGAAACCTTGGTGCGTCACAAAATGCTAGAATTAGACCCGGCAACGGCATACACACAAACACCTTATCCTTTTGGACTGGATCCCGCTTGGCAGGTAATTTCCTCACTATTGTAGTAACTGAACTAATAAAGTGAAAATTCTCTGTATTGAAGCTCTTATTAAAATATTAGGATTTTTTATCGTTTTTCAAAACTTTAATGCATTTAAGGTTAAGTAAAGACTTTACTCTCAAAAAGACAATTTTACTTACATGAGAATAGTAATACTAGTCGTCGATATTATTTTTTTTTACCTACTTCCCAAAAGAAGGAGGTTCTTAATTCTTCTGTATGTTTTTTATGAATACTACAATTTTTTTAATATATGTAGTGATAACTTGAATTTAAGTAAATTAAATGAGCTCACGTTTTTAATAGAAGAGGGTAACTTGTAAAGTTGTGCTCCTTCGAAAGTAATGTTTATTGCACCATAGTTGGTCCGAACTTTTGGTAGAACAAGTAAATTTGGTCCATTACTGCGTTTATTAATGAACCTGTTTTTTTTCTTGTTTTTTTTTTTTCAGTTCGCTGCTAATAACATAATATTCCTCAATTCTTTCAAGATGAAGCTCTCAATAATATTCGGCGTAATCCATATGGCGTTCGGTGTGACAATGAGTGTGGTAAACTTCAAGTAATTACTGTATTCATAGAAACTAGAGCACGTAGTTTTGTTAATTCTATGTTAGCATTTAACGTGATCGCTATAAGGTGCATTTTTGCGTTACAGCTTCTTTAAGAAGAACTACATGATCTACCTGCAGTATGTGCCGCAAATATTGTTTCTGTTCCTACTGTTTTGGTATCTTTGTATACTCATGTTTATGAAGTGGACGATGTACTCCGCTGTCTCGACTGGTAAGTTGCATTAAAAAAGGCGATAGAATAATTTGCAACAATAACTTTGGCAATATTTAAATATATAAAAACTAGACGATCCGAAATTTTGATAAAACTAGCTAGAAGAGATTTACATTTATTTTACAGTTCCAACTAAGCTCTAGACTTGTGCTAGGATATGGTTTACAATAATCGAATGATGGGATTCGAACTCTCGACCAGTGAAATATGTACCCCTAACCCTTTGCTATTGGGGCTTTTATACACCTTTTACTAGGAATATGTGTTGCCCTATCACATGCTTTTGTATCATCAGACCCGGCATACGGCACGTACTGCGCACCCTCAGTGCTGATCATCTTCATCAACATGATGCTGATGAAGAAGTCGGAGTCGCGGCCGCCGTGTCTCCAGCACATGTACGCTGGTCAGGAGCCGCTGCAGAAGACCTTCATCGCAATAGCCTTTCTCTGCATACCCGTTATGCTGTTCGGGAAACCAGTCTACCAGATGATAGCGGATAAAAAGAAAAAGGTTGGAAGTCGTTTTATCTTCATTCATAATGTCGTACTGACCCTATTAAATGGATACCTTAAATCTTTCTCTGAGAAAAAGTTCAAAGTTCTATTTCATTCTTATTTTAAACTAGCTAATCCCCTGCGGCTTCATCCGCATGAAATTATACAAACTTTATTTATTGTTACATTTTCAATTGAAAGAGTCAAAATTTAAATGGACAAATGACAAGGAAGGCTTTTGACAGTACATAACAATTAACGTTACCATGACAACCTTGTTTTTTTGATGTTTTCAGCTTGTTTTATGGTCAGTTTCCCGCATGATTTTTTTTTCCACAATATTTAACCCTTAAGTTAATTAGCATGAAAATATATAGTCTAAAGCGTGTCATAAGTGTAGGGCTTTTTATTACAAAAAGAACTATTCATAAATAGTGCTGTGAGTGCTGACATTCTACGTCACGAAGTAGTGTGTGTTTACGCTTTATTATATTAGTATAGAGTATAGAGTATAGATGTAAAATCCTTCTGCAGAGATACCAACAAGGGGTAGAGAGTGGCGAGGTGGCAAAGGACCCACATGACGGTGGCATGGGAGAGGTGCTCATAACACAAGCTATTCATACCATAGAATATGTGCTCGGTACAGTCTCCCACACAGCTTCTTACCTGCGTCTCTGGGCGCTGTCGCTGGCTCACGCACGTAAGTAGAAACACTTTAAAACACAATCTAAAACTAACTAACTTCTGTTAGGAACAAAATTAGTACCGTGCTATAGAATTGGCGCAACACTAGATTATCGGCATTAACGTCACGTCCCTAGCTGACAGCTGTCAATGTCACTAGAAGTATGTATATTGGCGCGCAACCTGGCTCTGAATGAGAAGTGTTGCTCTGAGTTTAAAGCGACAATATCAATTAAATAAGTTGTCTAAAACTTCTAACTAACTAAGTAACTGCCATATTCAGGCATCGTAAAAAGAAAAATCTTTATGTTGATTTACTTAAAAAATGTACTATTTAAGCCACCAAGTTTATGTTCTCTTACATGGTCACCTGTAAAAGCGCTCGCACGCCTATGACTAAACTATCGCACAACTGTTTAGTCTTGCTTTGATTCCTATGAACTTATATGGAGGTGCACTCTGTATAGTCGAGCAAATAAACATTTGAAGGCTGCGAAACAATTGACAATCGCACAACTGTGTGCGATTGTTTAGTCAAAGGTGCCCGCTGTAACAGAACCGATTAAATCGTTGTTTGTAATGCACTTAATTTGAATTCTTTGTTATAATAGTGAGACGTTCTGTTTTTTTTTAAGTCATTTAATCAATATTTTTTATATTTCAGAGTTGTCTGCGGTGTTATGGCAACGTGTATTACGTATAGGACTTGGCGGTGGGTCGCCTATAAATGCAGTGATGTTGTATGTAATATTCGCTGTGTGGGCGTTCTTTACACTCGCCATTCTAGTACTCATGGAGGGCCTGTCCGCTTTCCTGCACACGCTTAGACTTCATTGGTAATTATAATTAATTTACTGGATATACTCTTGATAATTCCGTATAGCAGATATTAAATAGGGCTGTCAAGTTAAAGTGTTGTGAACTTCGATCAAAGAATTAAAAGTAACTGAAGGTTATCTATCGAAGAAAACTTAAAAATTGTTTATGATCGGAGATTGTAGTATCCAAACAAAAATGTACGCTATTTCAGGGTGGAGTTTATGAGTAAATTCTACGAAGGTCAAGGATACGCTTTCGTTCCGTTTTCCTTTGCGGCGATACTTGAGCGTGAAGACGACGATTTGGTGGTACAGAAGAATGGCACCTCTCAGGAGTGAGACCAAAATTACGCAAGAAAATGACGAGGTTATAAATCGATTATATCTAGTACAAAGACTATAAATGATAATTTAATATAATATTTCTAGTTTTATTCTATATCTTTAAAAAAATCCTTGAACAAAAAGACGTTAAAAAGAAAATGTCTATTATTAAATTGACTGTTACCTTTGAATTTAATTGAGTCTTTGTTAATTATTTCAAAATGTTAAAAAACGTATAAATAATGCTTGAAATCTTTATCATGTTCTATATTTTATTCTATTTTTAATTCGACATTTAAAAATATTCTGATGTATTTATATAAAGCCCGCTACAGACGCTCGGTTTGGACAGTTTACTTTTGAGTTAAAACTGCGCATTTAAGCAAAGTTTTAAATATAAGCTGAAATTCAGTTAAAGACTTGCCTTACACAGTTTAAACTGTACGTTTCGATTCTTATTTAAAACTGTCATTTGGAATTGAATCTATACCGAGCTTTGATTTACCAAAAGTTTGATGTCGCGATTAATACTCGCATAATTTATAAAGTTTTATTCATTTTAACACTCATTTTATATCTCTTTTCTGAACGCATCGTAAAAAATACTTTAGATTTAAGTACCACAGTATGTAAACATAGATATAAGATAAAATTAGACACGGAGTTTAATATAATGTAATGTATTCAAGCCAAAGAAATGATAGTATCTATTTGACTTTTAAACACATTTAAATTTAATATTATAGTGCCTTTTATAAAATAATTCAATTTAATTAATTGATATATAAAGCTTTGTCACACATAACAAAATGTTAGTCCTAACATGGGGCCAATTTCATTTTGTATAGCTTAAAAATCTGTTTTTTAAAATCAAACTGTTTTACAACCACATGTTTTGGTTCTACCCTTGTCAATTATCTATACGTTCTATACTATTATAATAAAGCGTGAACACACACTTCTTTGTAGCCTAAGATGTCAGCAATTACAGCATATTTTTGAATAATTTTTCTTTTAATTAAAAGCCCTAAACTTGCGGCACGCTTTAGGCTATATATTTAACGCCATTAAATTTAGGGGGTATATATTGGATAAAAATCCTAATGTGGGAAAGAGACTATAAGTTGCTGCCAACATCAAGGAAACAAGGTTGTTATCATGTCATGTCATTTTGACATTTGTAATTGATAATTTGACAAATGTAAACAATAAAATAAAATTTTCATAATTTCATGCGGATGAAGTGGCATGGGAACAGCTATTATTCAATAAAAACTCATGCTAGTTTCCACCAATGAAACACCTTTCGATACAGTCGTCTCTTTCACTTGCTTGTATAAAATAGAGACAGAAATGTCTTTCTAGTATTTCGTTAATGTGTTCACAGCATATAAATGATTTGTTATATTTCTAATAAATTTGATAGTTTTGTTTGTTTATAAATGTTATTCGTATTTTAATATAGTTTATTATTTGAGTTTTAAGTACTATTAACCTTTTTTATGTAAAATGGAATGTTTTAGTGTAAACTCTCTTTGTCATTAACATTATTTATAGTGCTATCGACAAAACACCTAACAGTACCAATAATTTTATTTTTTTAATCATATCAAAAAAACAGTTGCTTCTTCAGTGTTTCCTGTTGGCACGATTAGCATACCTAGAAGGTTTCCAAATAAAATTTTATACCATTGGAACGATTGTTTTGTAAACCGATCGGTCCAACGGTAAACCTTCCATCCGTCCTTTACAGTTTCTGTGAAGCCCTTACAGACAGTTTTGACAGTTTCAACTGAACAGCGTGTTCAACTGACAGGTCTAATTTTGCATATATATGTTATAACTGAACACTTCGATTGTTCAGTTATAAAATATGTTACAACTGAACGTCTGTATCAGGCTTGAGTTTCGACTCTTGTTTCATTTGTATTGACCCATGTTGTTAATGTAAGTAATGCCAACTGTCACTTCAGTCGAAACCCACAGTATTGAATTGGACCAAGTTTGTCTTAAGTCTTAAGAAAAACGCAAATTACTTGAATACTTTTATTATATTTGTTTTTATCCACGATACAAATTTACAAGTACTATCGGGGAATTTAGCGGTGTTCCATCTTGATAGCTGCAGTCTGAAACGTCGGAATAATAACCAATAGCATAGTTATAATACTATACTACTAGACAATAGGTAAATATTGTCTGTACTAATAAGGTCAGTACACGGATAATTGCATTTTTTATTATGTCATCGTTTACGCAACTCACTGCTGCCTAATTGATTATTTGTATGAGTTTGTCTCGACAAGGCAATTATTTGAAATTGGAACACCGCGAAGGACCCTGACTGTACATTAATCGTGGATTTCCACTGTTCAATTTACTCGAAAATATGTCCATCTCTCTCACTCTGAAAGGGAGATAGTTAAATGGTTTACAAGTCTTAGCAGTGGAAATCCACGGACGCATATTCTACTTTTATGAGTACAATGTAATTTACACCATTCCTTAATAAACGAGTGTTATTCAAATATAATTGTTTGATTTCGAACTTACAATTTTTTCGCCCTTGCCTATTTAAAAAAAGTTACTTAAATTATTGCTTTGATGTTATACAGTGTTAAAACTATAATTTACATATAGAATATTCAGAGAGTATATGACATTAGAAATAACCTAAAACTACCATATCTTCAAACTTTATTTTCTTCAAAGTTATTATTTAAAGAAAAAAATAATCAATAATTATTGCCAATTTTTTTGTATTAAGTTACACAATTAATTTGTTAATATGCATCGTCCAAATTGTTTAAAAAACAAAAAACGGATACAGAGATGCTGTAATTCTAACATCTTAACCACATCAAATTTGGCTTCGTATTTATTCTGTGGTACAGAAGTACCACAGAATAAATACTTTAAAACAAAGTTTGTTAATTAAGCCATATAAAAACACAATTTAGATTTACACAATCTCATAACACAAAATTTTACGAATTCAGAGATAGCATAACATTAGAAAAAGGACCTGTCCCGCCACTGGCTGATAGCTGCTCAGATAGCTTAAAAATGACGTCACTTTCGGATAAGGGAACAAAATCCGCAATATCCATCAAATATTTTACACGTTGGATTGTTATCAGACAATTTAGAATGTGGGACAGGCCCTTAAACGTCCTTACAATCTAAATCAAAAACCTAACCTAGTCCAGAACATGCTATGACAAAGTTGCTAGTGCTATAAGCAGATATAAATATCATAACTTACATATTTTTTAGGCAACAATAATTTACATAAAGCTTCACCAGGAATAAAAAAAACTCTCATACTTTTTCAGCGATTTAAGCGCCTTTTGGTGAGAATTTTTATGTCCTTGGTTAAACCATAAACAGAATTACAAATTAGGTAAAGAATTTGTTATATTTTATAGTAGCATAAAGTTTAGTAATAAAATAAAAATCATTTTTACATACATACAGTATGTGATTGGAAAAATAAAAAAATTAAAATACCATCAATTTCATAATTATATTATAAGGTCGTATAATATAAAATGATTATTAAGAAAGCAATTAATACATACAACTTATCAAAAAGTAATAATTTATATTCCGTCACCTCAATTATGACCACATCTTTCCACTTTCACAATAAGTATTAATTTTTATATCTAGTCCCAATAAATAATCACTTTCGATTGTATTTCTTCACCATAAACTAGAGTTTAATTTTAATTTCAAACAAAACAAGTCCTTACAGCGTTTCTAGCGACTTAAAGCGCTTGCGAGCTATACCGAGAGCTCTAACAATTCCTCAGTCTCCTGAGCAGCGCTCGAAGCGCTTTACTTCTGCGCTAAGAGCATCCGTGGCGCTGGATCCAAGCGACGTAGCGCGCGACATCTGTCGAGCTGACAGTGCGCCGTGTCTTGTCTATGGCCGCGTTCAGATCGTCCTTAGACACGGGCGCCTCTAACTCCGATTGCTTCAAACGACGTATTTGATCAGGGCTTTTTCCCGCGATTTTTCGACGCATTGTCATCATTGCTGCGTCTCTGTGGAGGTAAACATACTATGAAAATGACGCTAAAATAAGATAAATTGTCCAAAGAGTTTCAAAAAATGTATAGAAGAGGCATTGGCATTAAATAATATTGAAATGATTTTATTTTATAACGTTTATTTTATAATTTAGTGTTTTTTTAATAATAAAAGATGGAGCTTATTACAATTTTGCAAAACGTTTAATTACATATCAATACAAGGACACGAGGTAGCACTAAACTGGACAACTGATATAGTACCTTTTAAAGATTACTGGTAAAAAAAATTTGTTCACTACCACGTCTATATATTTTTAAATATCTTTGGTACGGTCATAAAATATAGTTTCTTATAGTTGGTTAACATTACCGGCATATGTTACAGATGTCGGAGCCGCTATACCCGTCAAGTTTCTCCGACATGTCTTGGAAGTCCACGTCCTCTGTGAGCGATACCTCGCGGAGGCAAAGCTTGAGGAGTTTCGATCTTGTTATTTCTGTAATAAAACAGATTTTAAAACTGATTGCTTTTTGACTTTTTTCTATTGAAGATATGCATTCATTATAAAATTTGTAAATCCAAATTTGAACGAGTAGTAAATAATTCATCATCTAAAAAGATTACCATCAGGAAGACCGACGTATATTCTCTTCTCAAAGCGTCTCCTGAAGGCCTCATCGATATCCCAGGGGTGATTGGTGGCTGCCAGCACCATTACCACTTTATCTTGGTTGCTGCAACACGAAAAATCATTAACCTTGTCATTAACCTCAAATTGTGCGCACAAGTTTTCCGTTAGTCTATTCATACATCTATCGTTTAACTAATTTTCGGGTCTACTTTAGTTTTCGTCCTGTAGTAAGATCAACTTACAAAATGGCGGCGAGCCCATCCATCTGTATGAGCAGTTCAGCTTTGAATCGTCTCGAGGCTTCATGTTCGGAGTCAGCGCCGCGCACCGCGCACAGAGAATCTACTTCATCGATAAAAATCGTGCTCGGCGCGTAGAACGAAGCCTGCAAACACAATACTAAGTTAAGCAACACCCCATTATGCAAGAATGGATAACAACAACACAGAATACCAGCGAAGTAATAAAGTAGGGATTTCCTAAAATTCCTATGATAATCACACATTTTATTATACCCTGAGTGGCAGTGATAGCCAGATAAGGTGAACTGTTTGCTATAATTCCACTTTCTTCCATAACATATATATTAGAAGTGAAAATCATTAAATAAAATAACCATATCGAAGAGCAGTCGGACGAGCTTCTCGGAGTCACCGCGGTATTTAGAGGTGAGTGTAGCGGAGGAGACGTTGAAGAAGGTGGTACGGCACTCCGTAGCCACGGCACGCGCCAGTAGCGTCTTTCCTGTACCCGGCGGACCTGTAAGCAGTACGCCCTTCCACGGGCGACGGATGCCCTGAAAAAATATCAATTTAATCTCACTATTAATCTCCTAGGCTAAATTCATTCGACGCTTGTTGTTGATAGACTATAATATTGATCGCCCATATGTCAATAGTAATGAAAAATGTCATTTGTGGTCGTCACGCGAGATATTGTAACGACATTGTTACAAAAGTGAAATTAAAATGTACTATAGCGATAGCCAAGTTTGTTTCACAAAATCCATTTAACGTCTTAATGACAAACCTAACCTTAAAATAATCAGGCATGACGAGCGGCAACACCATTGCTTCTTGCAGCACCGCTTTCGCATCATCCAATCCAATAACATCTCTCCAACGGACATCTGGATTCTTCTGGAGTATGTCTCTTTCCAAAGTCTCCACTAAATGTAATTCGTAACCACTCGTGTCAAAGACTTTTTCGTCTCTCTCCAAGATTGTGACATCACCATCAGTTGTGCCATCAGTCTTTCGAATCGGTTTGATCGGAGCCAACTGCCTCTTAACTCTTGGAATTCTTTCTACTGATCGACATTTTCTTCCGCTGCTCACTGCGGAAGCGGTCGAAGTCTTCCGAGAGACGATAGAGGGTAAAGTCGGTTGTATCTCAGGGTCTCTTCTACGAAGGGTTCCAGCCCACTTTTCAGTCGTCGGATCTGACTGCTTAACTTGATCCAATGGCGATTCTTGGAATGAAGTCGCTTGAGTCGGCCTGACGACTGAACATAGTGGAATTAGTCTATATTACAATCATCTGTAAATTTAATTATTTATGGACTAAACTAACCTAAAAAATTCCCACTTAAAACTCCATCTAAAATGTGGAAATGCAAAATCGCTTGAAAAATTACATTAGTTTAATAAATAAAAAAAGAAACAAAGAGCATGAATAAATTTGGTGTCACGTCTTTTTTCTAGTCTCTTAAAAATATTGATGGCATGTATCTTGTCAGTACAAGAATCATTTGTCTTCATATCGAATTTGTGGACAAATTAATATGACCGTTCATTTTGTTCAAAATTGCTTAGACGTCACGCGGTCAAATCTTTTAAGTGGGTTATTTTCGGATCTGAGTCTTATCGAATAAGTAATTCATAAAAATTTAAGGATCCGTTCTATAAAACAATACAACTCCATAACCGTCAGAGTTATATGGATTCAGAAGAAATAGAAGTTTATCAGGATCTTGGCTAGCTATCATATCTATGTCAAAGAAATCTCAACCTTACTTCTTTGCAATAGGGGCATCTATTTAATACCTTGCGTGGGTGGATGGCGGGTGCCATTGTGGGCATGCGTGTCCGGTCTAATCCTATCTTTCTTCGCTGCTCCCTTTTCGCTGCGCAGACCATCTCGCGGTGGGTCATCTCCTTTGTCGGATTTAGCCCGGCGCGCCGTTACTCTCGCGAACCCAAATGGCTGCAGGCTCTCCGTCATCATCCGGTCCATCATCCGCGCCATCTGGTGGAAGCTCGATGATGGACTGCAAATAATTTGTGACAAAATGTATAACATTGTTGTCTCTGACTTCTAAAATATGAAATTAGGGAAGATTCATTTTCACATCATTAGCAAGATCTAGAATTTATCATATTGTTTGTCAATATGTCTCAATTTATTACACGTCAACAGAATTTGATTTTTCTGAACTAAAATTAGATGGGTTCATCCATGAAGACGAAATTACCACCAGCTTCATGTTGACATTATAGAATATATTTAGAGAACCGTTTTCCAACTAAATTATAAAAGACTACATGAAGTAGTACTTTATATCTACGGACCCGATATGCGCATCCCTTTCAAAGAACTGCCGCAAGCCAGCGACATTTGGATACAGGAAATCGCCGAACCCGAAATCCATGTTTCGTCTTAAAACTCGAGCCAACATAAGTCCGTTTGTTCTACAACTAAATCACTGTAATTGATGTGTTTATCATAATTTTTCTGATATCGAAAGTATGTCAACGCTCTTTCAACCGGACAGTCGGGGAAATTTTGGCCACTGAATGACAGGTTTGTTTTGAATCGGTTGCTATAGGAACGCGTTCGCGGAAAACACAATCGCTCTGCAGGACAACTTTGTATTTTCGTTTTGGAATACTATACATGGTAGAACTTCACCTTTGCGTAGTTCATGTTTTAATTTCGAAAGGTCGCGACATCAGAAGGTCGGCCGCAAATGGAAGTTGGTATTGGAAGGTCATTGCGATGGTTTTGGGACTTACGTGTCGTTGAACGAGTTTACCAATTGACCTCGTTTCGTATTAAGGGGTTAATAAATAAGTACTTCGTCCTTGTTTGCGAGTACAGTGTCGGGACAATTAGGTATTATCGTAAAGGAAATCAGTAATTTTGATCGCAGGTTTCCAGTCGGAAAACAATTTTATAAGCGTATTGCTGTCTATATTTTTTCTAAGTTAATTAATGAGATGTCGATATTCTTTTATGTAGATATTTTTTAACTATGAAAGATCTTATACTTACTATAGTACTCAAGTCTAAAAACCTGAAAGTATCGTTAAGGACCATCTTAAATTTGCATTTCCTATAATTTCTTAAGCTTTATTATTATTCGGACATCCAAAAACTAGTGTTACTAGACCTGTCGATGGTAAATCGATTGGTAATTGCAGGATAGTGATAGTGTATTAAGGGGTCTTTGAACTTTACTTATGTCCATTGACTGGAAGGGAATAGTGACAGGTGGCGCCGAAACTATGCCAAAGGTCATCGACTGTACTTTTCTGTTGACAATGAGGTTTGTTCATTCATTTTTAATGTTTTGACGTCACTCTGTTGAAAGTTTAATATAAAAGACATACGATTCTCAACTTGTCGTAACTTTTTTTTTTCATTCTAATAGAGATCATCTACTCTTTATTTACTAGCTTTACTTTTACAAGAGTATCTTACAGAGTACATTATGTATTACTCTCTCTTACATCTATATCAGTCGTTTCAAATGTAACAATGTACTGAATTCAAATGAATTCAAGCATCTCTATCAGCCGTTATATTTGAATTCGATCCCTTCTCACACAATTCCTCGTTCACTCAATTTGTATTTTTATTCTATCTCAGACCTCAGATTGAATGTCGTGCAATCTCTAGCTTGCTTAAAAAACATTAATATCAATAAACGTTTTAGACAATGATTCTTATAAATCTTGATTAACCTTCAGACAGCGCCAAAATAAAGCAATTAGGAAGATGTCCAACAAGATTATGAGGTAGAATTGTTCAGACAGGAGGCGCGTGGCCGCCTACAACATTATTATCTCCATTGGAGCAAACGCGAGACCCTTGATCAAAATAAATTGACGGCTTCATAAAGTGGAGTTAACGATGATTGTACTGATGTTATTGTACTCTTTGAAACAAAGACAAGGTACAAAGATTGCAGACCATACTGAGCGGAAGTGAAGTTGAAAATTGTACCTTAAAATGTGCATAAACAAAGCACACTTTTCGAAAAACCCCAAGAAAATTGCGAGCTTAATGGAACAATCTTAGATGTAATCAAAATTAGATGACACAAGATTAAAAGACATAAAAAGGACTCATTCTGCACTCTTTGTTAACAATTGTCACTAATGTTTTCATTTAAATGTTAGAAAGTATTGCGTAACCCATCCGCACTTGCCGTCTTCGAGACGTTAAATTAAATTATTGGCTTACAATCATAATGCCTATTTATATAAATAAATCTCCGTACAACGCAATATTTACACCTACGCAAGCTTATAAATAATAATCCCTTACATCACAGTTACCATTAAATTCTAGAAACGCAAAATAGCAAACATAATATTGTTACATAAAAGCATACTACAATCAATTTCATTCAGGAACCCAGATAAAAAATATGGGTATTTCATCACACGGGCAATTGAACCACCGATCATTCACAACCCCACTCTCACACTCCACAACTACCACACTCCACCACCTCAAAACTCTTCGAACACAACACTCCACAACCACATCAATAGAAGAACTGTAGATTTACTGACTGCTTTTGGAATTGCAGTCTTACTAAACTCCAAAGTGTCTAGCTTTGTACAGCGCCGGTTCTAGCTCTACTAGCCCTGGACGAGTTTTTACAGCGTCCCGTTTTCTACCATGACTCGGGGGAAAGGAAATGGTTTAGAGTGTTTTATAAGAGTTTGCAAGCTATGGCGCCGTCTGTCAGGCGCCCTGGGCGGTACATATCATTTGTGCAGCAATCTTAAGAGTGACGTAATTATTGCATCCCTTACGTTAAAGTAAACCTGTGCTAAGCATCCAGTAGCCCTGACCTAAATCTGATAATCATATTACGCATTCGCTGGAGGACTGAGTTCGACCTTCACTAACATTGAGACCGGGTAATTATTACGTCATAAAATATAATTACTAACATTGTACTGGTTGTTTATACTATACCATTTCGAAACTTACTACCTACGAATAATTACAACACACTAATAACTGTTGAGATATGGGGATTAATTAAATACTAAATAAATGTCTAAAAAAAGATTCTGTTCAAACATTAGAGCCTTTGTCTTATTTACGTTTACTATAATTAAAAAAAACATGTAGAATAAAAGAGATTAACGTGACATGAAAAAAATACTTTTGCCCTTTGACTTCAAAAAACGTCTAGGGAAATGGCAGAGTGAATGGTCCTTCAAGCAACATTCAGGTCACTGCATCTATGTCAAGACGGATGGAAATTGTCAAAGCCTACAAAATACACACAAATATAACACCTTTATTATAGAAATAAAGATAGAGTTCGTATTTTCTTTTTGATCAGCTAAGCGTTTTAATCGACCAATAAACGTTTGTAATTTAACATATTCCACTTTTTGACCAACTGCCCAAAAGACGGAGGTAGTTACCCAATTTGTCTGTATTTTTTATGTGTGTTACGGCATATCTTAGATTCGTTCAAGCGTCGTCCAGCGGCCATTTTGAAAAAAGATAACAGATCAATGTTGACACAGAATTACGAGCATTTTACCTCTAAGATAGCAGAATAGTTTCTCCTAATCTTTTAGAGCAGTCAGTTCTTTTACCATATCGATTAAAAAGTGCAATAATTCTATTGATGTTCGCAAGGCACGTTGCTCGTTATTCACGCGTCTAGACTCTGCGTGTTATTACGTTTAATTCCATTACCATAAATTACAAAATTAATCAAATAAAAGATGTTTTAATGTAAAGTTAGATGTACAACTTCAATTATAAAGAACCATTATTTTAATGGTTAAGGAACCACATTTCCGGTCACGTTGTCATCGGCTTAAATCCTATTGGACAATTGTAAACCATATCTTAGGACAACCCCATAGTTCAGTAATGATGGTACACGAAATAATAGTAAATGAACAAAGTTTTTTTTTTAATCTGGTTGGTAAGAAACTAACTTTAATTTGGTAGTCCAAAGCTACTAAGTTTAAAATCACTAATATTTTGATTTTTTCCCTTCTACTAAATTAATACACTAACGTTTTTGTTCCTGTAAAATTACCGCACCTATAATTGTTCGTTATCGCGAAATATAAATCTGTGAGGTCGAAAGAAAGCAGGTCACCTACGACTGCGAATATTGAAAACATAACTTATTTCTGACGTAGTGAATTATAGGAAATTTTACCGCTCTATTTGCTTCCTTAATCTCTGTCAAATAATCATAATACATAGTAATATTATAAACTAGCTTTCGCCCGCGACTCCATCCGCGTGGAATAAAAACAAAAGTGAGGTGCCTAAGTGTCCTTCCAGACTATCCCCTACATCTATGTCAAATTTCATCGAGATCCGTTCAACCGTTTAGGCTACAAACTCTAACAAACATCCATCCATCCATCTAAACTTTCGCATTTATAATATTGGTTAGATGTAAAAGTTTAGATGGATGAATGTTTGTTAGAGTTTGTAGCCTAAACGGCTGAACGGATTTCGATGAAATTTGGTAGAGATGTAGAGGATAGTCTGGAAGAACACATAGGCTACTCCCTTTCGTTTTCTTTAATTTCAGGCGGACAGAGTTGCGAGCGAAAGCTAGTCTAAAATACATTAGATAAGCAATATTTCTACTTCGCTTAGTGGCTTTAGGCACCAAATGAAACTTTAGTCAAACAATTTTAACAGACAATTTATGCATTTAATAGTTACTTAAACATTCCCTTAGTGTCGTGTGTTTAACATGGTAAGGTGGCTAAACCCTAAACATAAATAAGCCTTTGATGTACTTAATAACAACTTAAGCCTTTCCTTAGTTTCGAATCGACGCGTCTAATATGGCAGGTTACATTATCTTAAACGTAATCTAGTAAGGGTTACTTCAAAAACAGCTACTGCGTAACGCACTACGAGGACGTAAGTTGACACTAGCCTGTAACCCACACCGCTCCGCACACCGGATGTCAAACGATCTTATTACATGAGAAAATTGTAAGCGTTGCTAAAGCAACTAATACGGAAACATAACTCAAGCCGATATGGATATCCGATATTACGATAATTAGATACAATCTTACTAATATTATAAATGCAAAAGTTAAGATGGATGGATTGATTTTTGTTGGAGTTTGTAGCCTTAACTGCTGAACGGATCTCAATGAAACTTGGCATTAATGTAGAGAATAGTTGGAAAGAATAGACTACATACATTTGTTATTTTTTCCCGCGCGAACGGAGTCGCGGGCGAAAACTAGTAGATTATTTAATTTTAATTTAAATTAAATTATTTAATTTACTAGTTTTCGCCCGCGATTATGTCGTCGATTTTGTCAAATCTGTGCCCAGAATAAAAAAAAATACATGTCACTTTTGAGCTCTCGTAAAATGTCGCAGTCTAGTTGTGAATAATAAAACAGTCAGCAGATTTACATTTTGCGCAGACAGAAATTCTCTTTCACTTCTTTCTGTACTGGACAAGAGCGGGCTCAAACATTTGATTGAACTATTGTGCGATTGTCGATTGTTTCGTAGCCAATTCAACTGTTTAGTTGCACACTAA